AAGAGCTTCCCTCAAAGCTTCATGGTGCATTTCAGTAGATTTCACTTCAGTTATAATGTTGACTGGAGCAAAGGTGACCACCATCCCATATTTGAGAACACCAGTCTCCACTTGGCCAACAGGAACAGTACCGATACCACCAATTCTATAGACCTCCTGGAGAGGCAGGCGCAAGGGCTCATCAGTTGAACTAGTCAGTGGTAGGCTGCAATCCAGAGCCTCAAGCAGCGGTTCCACTGGCACTGCCATCTTTACAGATGACTTTCTACCCCTTCAACCAAGGCATGTTAGCACGTGGCTCCAGCATGTTGTCACCATTACAACCAGAAATTGGCACAAATGCTACTGTGTCGGGGTTGTATCCAATTTTCTTAATGTAAGTGCTGACTTCCTTAATGATTTCCTCATATCTCTTCTGCTGTCCAGTGGCTCAGTGGAATCCATTTTGTTAACACCAACATTAGTTGCTTCACACCGAGTGTGTAAGCCAGAAGGGCGTGCTCTTGGGTCTGCCCATTCTCGGAAGTACCAGCTTCAAATTCACCAACACCAGCAGCAACAATCAGGACAGCACAGTCAGCCTGAGATGTCCCTGTAATCATGTTTTTTATGACGTCTCTGTGTCCTGGGGCATCAATGATAGTTACATAGTATTTGCTGGTCTTGAATTTCCACAGGGAGATACCAATGGTGATCCCACATTCACACTTGGCTTTCAGTTTATCCAAGACCCAGGCATACTTGAAGGAACTCTTTCCCATCTCAGTAGCCTCCTTCTCCAGTTTTTCAATGACTCTTTGGTCAGTGCCATCACATTTGTAGATTAGATGGCCAGTAGTGGTAGACTTGCCGGAATCTACGTGTCCAATGATGACAATGTGGATATGAGTTGTTTCCTTTCCCATTTTGGATTTTAGGGGTAGTTTTCATGACACCTGTGTTCTGGCAGCAAACCTGTTGTGAAAAAGACTCAAATCAAATTTTCATTGTGGTCAATAAGTCCCAATAATCTTTTGACATTAAAACAAGCACAGAAGTTTTATAAAGGAGACAAGATTTACATGGATGCTTGAAGTAGGACAAAGCATCACAACTCTGGCTCCTGGAAGGCCATTTTAGGCAGCATCCAGACACACAGGACGTGCATTCACTTTTCTCTGAACTCAAGGGCTCTGGTATAGAATATTTTTGAGGCCCTGGCCCCCAACCAGCCAATCCCAGAGGCTTGTAAGTCTCCCAACTCCCAGCTGAAGAGGGACAGGAGGTAGCTTCTCAGAGCCATGACTCTGACCATCCCCATCTTCAATTTTCACTGAGGGATTCGAGGCAGGAACTTGGCACTGGCTCCATGGGAGAGACTCCAGGTCCAGCTGCAGGTTCTCCAGCACTTCACCACATCTAACAGCTGCAGGGTAATGCTCAGTGTGAGAGCACTCAGACAATGTAAGTGAAGTGAAGTCTGCAGACACCACCTGGAGCCCAAGGATGCCGGCTGCAATGCCTGGCCAACTTCCACCATGCCTTTGTATCTGTCAGGAAAGGCTATGTTAGACTGTGGAACAAGCAACCCCAAAACCATGTGTCTTATTACAACAAAGAGTTTTATGTTCATGCTGTAAGCAGCTCATCACAGGGTGGCTGGGGATTTTCTTCAATGTCCCTCGTCTCCAGGATGCCGGCGAATACAGTGCCCACCTCCTCAAATATTGCTGGGTTACCATAGTAGAGGGAAAGAAAAAACACCGGCCATAAATTGTCACATGGTCCAATCCAGCCAGAAGAAACCAGGAAGTACCATCCAGCCATGTTCCTCAAGGGAAACCAGCTGGAAATATTTAGTGGCAGCAATGATTACCACAACCTTTTTGAAAACCCCAAGCCTAAACTTTTAGGCAGTGGTGCCTGGTCCCAAGGGAAAAGCTCAGGTTGAAGGGAGCAGCTGGAAAAATAGAGGTACATCTGTTCTGCTGTACCTGCTGGAGTGTAGGAAGCACTCAGGGGTGCATAGATCGGTAGCCCGTACACCTACACAGTCTGCACGGAGTCTGAACCACACACTTCCTGCCTCCCTGATACATGGAACTGACATGTGGTCTCATGCTCAGCAGCCCTTCCAGGCTCTTTCTGGGTGTGCTGAAGATGCATTATGATTTTTTTTCCAGGAATGCTCAGCAGGAAGGTGGAGACTGTAGGGGTTGCGTGAGTATTAGAGCAGAGGTGGGGAGTGATTATTTGGACCATCATTTATCACACCACACAGAGCAATCAATTAAGACTTATACTAAATCATTACTTTATGTTGCCTAAATCTGTCTGGTATTAGGCACTGCAGGAGAGACAAGAGAAATAATATATAGCCCTCGCTCTCAGGGAACTCATAATCCAAGAGGTGAGTTAGGACACTGTCTATTACCTTGTATTATAATTTTTTTCTCAGTGCCAAATGAATGGTACTGATAATAAAAATTATGAGAGTTGGGATAATGCAGAGCTTGCTGCAGGCATGATTGGCATGGAGAGACTTCATTGGAAGAATTAGGGCATAAGCTAGTCTGGGAAAGGTGTGAGAACTTTGGGTGGGTAAAAGGAGAGGGGAAATGCATGAGGAAAGGCACAGGAGTGGAAACTCTCACGCCCGCTTTTGACACAGGCTGACTCATAGTTAGAAATGGAGGGAAAAGCTTTGGAAGCCTCATATTTCAATCCAAGGAGGTTTATCTTCACACTTTCTGCAGAGGCAGAATGTGTGAGATGCTTTACAATAGATCCCGGTCTTCGGAGGAGGACAGAGCAAGTCATCATTTCCCTAACTTGGCAGTCAGGAGAGCCCCACCTTCACCCTTACTTCGACCCGTACAAGGAACTTGTTAAAAAGAGACCTTCTTGAAAATAAGTTTTCTCCACAATACTCAGGACCCATCGCAGAGACATTTTGATTCAGTAGATATGAGATGGGAATTACTACCTAGACGCGGTCCTGGCACATCTGACTCAGCCTGTCAAAGCAGACTTTTTAAATTGCACACTAGAAAGTGTCTCTTATTTCTAATCACTGTATTTCTGTTGCAGGTGTACTCTCCATCCATTTGCCCCAATGCCTTAGAGCTGCCCTGGAATTTTTCTTTTTTTGAGACAGCGTCTTGCTCTGTTGCCCAGGCCGGAGTGCAGTGGTGCAATCTCGGCTCACTGCAACCTGGGCCTCCTGGGTTAAAGCGATTCTTGTGCCTTGGCCTCCCCAGGAGTTGGGATTACAGGCCCCGCTAATTTTTTCTATTTTTAGTAGAGATGGGTTTTTGCCATGTTGCCCAGGCTGGTCTCAAACTCCTGAGCTCGGGCGATCCGCCCACCTCGGCCTCCCAAAGTGTTAGAATTACAGGTGCGAGCCCTGCCCCAAGCCCTAAAATGCTTCATATCTTCCTGCCTCGATTTTTTTTTTAGGCTGTCATCCAGCTCACACCCCTACTACCACCCTCTGGTCTGAAATGCTCTCTGCCTATCAATATTTTGTCAATCCTTCAAGATCCAGCTCAATTTTTATCTCTTCTATAAGGTCTGCGTTGTTTGAAAAAGATTACAGATCTCACATATTTTCTTCTCAGTATGTGCTCCGCGGTTGGCGGGTTAGTCTCAGGGAATACACAGTCGTGTTCCTGAAAGGCAATGCCCTCTGTAACCACGTGGGGGCCCGTCCAAGGCACCCTTCTTCCCCTGCTCCGGTTTGCCTCTTTAATTTAAATATTTATTTTTCTCTCCGTGTTTAAAAATACTATCCTTGTTATGGAAAAATAAAAACATGAATTGGAAAAAATCAGAAAATGCAGAAAACGGGCTGTGGTCTATTAAAGAAAACTACTTAGGCCATGTTGATATATATGCTTCCAAACTTTTCCAAGCTGTAATTACACATCTACACAGCATATAACGCTACATATAATGTTATATATTGTTTAAAACGCTAATTTAAACAAAGGATCGTTCAGGACAGGCTCTTTCTCTTAAAATATCATGAACATCTGTCCCTACCAAGACCTTCACCAAAATGATTGTAAATGATGGTATTGCGTTCCACTGCTCATGCCATTTAAAAATCTCTACTATAATAAACACATGATAGAAAACGCTAAGTGGCGTCTACCGGGGTTCACCGAACTTTATTATTATTGTTGGAAGTATTTATTCCATTTCAAACACAGACGGGCATGAGTGCATCTGTCCCCCCGCAAATAGCCCAAACCTCCAGGTCCTGGACCTCGGAGGGCAGAAGTGCTCGTGGGGTGCGCGGAGGGGGCTGGGCCTCCCCGGGCGAGAGGGCCGTCCTGGCCGCGGTCACTCGGGGGACGCCCTGCCTGGAGGCCCCTACTCGCCCGCGGGCGCAGCCAGGCTGGTCCCATGAAAAGGACCCTCTCGGTAACCGAGTCCCTTGGGCCGGGCCGCGGGGCCGACGCAGTGACTCCCCAGAGCTCTGCAGTCGGGCAGTGGTCGCAGGGACCGCCCAGAGTCACTGGGTCCTCCCGTCGGGCCCCGCGGGCGGGGCCGGGCCGGGCGGGGCGGGGCGGGGCCGCGAGCGGGCGGGCGCCGCGCCTGCAGTTCGCCTCTCGGGCTGCAGGTGGGGCTGTGCGGCTGCGCTGCCTCCAGGAAGCCTCACGGGCCTTCGTCTGCCGAGCCGCAGCGCCGGCTCCCAGGATGCAGTGTGGACCCGCTGGCTGCTGACGGAGGCGACGCGACTGCAGGCTGCGCGGCGCAAGGGCGGCCAGCGAGGAGCGGCGGCGGAGGCAGGGCCGGGCGGGCGCCGCCTGCGGAGAGCATCGGGCGGCCAGGCCTGCGTGGGGCCGCGCGCGGCGGCGGCGACGACTTCCTCCGGGCCGGGCGGGACAGCGCAGGGCCATGGCCGAGGCGGTCGCGGCTCCGGTAAGGCGACCCGCGCGCGCACAGACTCGCGGCCTGGGGGCCCCAGGCGGCCCGGGCCCGGCACACAGCGCCGCAGGCCCTGGGGAGGGGCTCCGGGGGCCGGGTCGGACCACCGGGCCTGGGGCTCCCGCGAACTGGGCGCGGGGTCCGCCGGGGCCTACTGCGCCCGCCGGCCGAGCCCCCACTCCGGGCGGAGCCCGAACGCTGGCTGACCGCTTGTCCCCGTGCCGGGGCCGCCCCACGCCAAGTTCCTTGGGCCCTCCCGGGCTTCCTGCCCCCGCCGCAGCCGCTGTCCCCTCCTTCTGGATGCCCCCCTGCCGCTGCTCTTTTCTCTGCCTGGCGCTCGGCCTGTGGGCCTGGTGGTACCTGGAAGGTGTTCGGCTTCGAATCCGCATACAACGACACCCGCTACATGCCCAGCTCCCTCGGCGCGGAGGGGAACGTAGAGCCAGACACTGCACCAAGCCCTGCTGAGGCGTTAGTATGGCCTCATAGCAAGCCCATGGGGTGGGTACTGTTACCTGTATCATACAAAAGAAAAACCTGGGGCCTAGAGAAGTTAACTTGCCCAGGATCGCACAGCTGGAAAGTGCCAAAAGACACACAGCGGCTCTGTGTGTTCAAGGACCAAGCAGGCAGGTACGTGGTCAGTAATAGTGCAGAACAGAAAGGGTGAGTGCTGGCACCCAGGTGGAAGCTTGCGCTGGGCTCCAGGGGTAAGAGCATCAGGGGGCCGCCTGGTACCGCTGCTCACCCCTCCTGGCCTGATGCTCTGCGCCTCTGAGATTTAAGCCGGGCTTTTAGGCGAGGCTAGGATTTCATCAGGCCAAGCTAGACCCACAGAGATTTCAGGGAGGGAGGAGGGCCTGGGCAAAGGCGCAGAGAGACGGGGCAGTGCAGGGCGTGGGACAGAAAGGAGTCCACAAGCCCGAAGAGGATGCTTTTGGTTTGGAGGCAGTAGGAGAGGAGGCTGCGGAGACTAGGAAGGGGCCTGCATGCCGGGACTTGATCCTGTGGGTGGGCAGCGGGTGGGGGATCTGGCTCCTCTTACCATCAGCTTCTCTCGAGCAAAGAGTTTCGGCTCCCCTGGCAGGAATCTAAGGACAGCCCCACATATTCCAGCCACCAGTCAGTAAGAAGCTGGGCTGGAATGGGCAGCGCACTGTCGCCACCTCCCAGCATAGTGTGGAGGCCTCACACAGGGCTTCCTGGCCCCATCACAGTTGTAAGAAAACCGTGCATTGCGTTGTCCATGTGTAAAAGATGAATATTTTCCTGATAAAGTAGTTTATGCAGAGGTCCCTTTCATGCCACACAAAGACTGTAATAATGCACTTGGAGGATGGGTAGGATTTCAGTGGTTGGGGAGCTGGTGACCAGGTGCGAGGATGCTTCTGGAGTAAACTCTTGGCGTCTGCGATCACGTGACAGGGATTGATCTGAGAAAGGAGAGGCGAGGGAAGGAACAGTAGCCTTAGGTGGAGGGCAGACTCAAGCCCAGAACTAAGTCGACCCGCCCAGTTGCCTGTGAGACCACCTCCTCTTTGAGAGCAAGACCCCACCCACATCCGGGTTTTTGACTAGAAGCAGAACCTCCCAGCCTTGAAGACCCCTTAGAGTCCTACCTTCTTGGGGTCCTGCTTCGCTCCAAACATCCAGACAGGTTCTTAAGCACCGTCCTGGACAAGTTTTCTTCTGCCTCTGCTGAAACTGTTTTTGTTTCTATTTTTTGAGGTGTCCATGCACGTTCTAGTTCTCAGTGACTTTCTCTAAGTGAATCCATCCACACGGCTCCAGATAGCCACTTCTTCATTTTGGAAATAGTCACCAACCTTTCGTTGAGGAATTATTTTGCAGAATATTGTAAGGAGGCGTCGAGCCTCGGTCCCCAATATCAGGAGCTCCTCTCTGCCCTGTAGATATGGGTGGCTCAAGCATCCAGCTTTCCACCCAAGGCAAATTGTGCCCATTCGTCCTTGTCCCAGCTGCCAGTCACTGATATGCCATGTGAATGTTTCCAATGATAGAGAAGCACATCGTCTTTAATTAAGATGGCTGCTGTCCATATACAAGTCTAACTTTGTGGCATATGACTGTTTTCCTGTCCCATCTGTAGGCATGTCACTGCTCCTGGTGTGGCTACAAACATGTCTGAGGCCATCGTTTTAACCTTGAGTGGGGTGGGAATTGGGAATGAGAAAGAATCTTGTGGGGCTTATGCAGTGCCAAAAACCTAACTGGCTGATGGAGGTTTGCAATCACAGGGATTGTACCTTGTCGCAGAGGGGCAGATCAGGACCAAATGAGACTGTCCTGGGGGAAAGAGGAACTGGCCATTAGATTTTTATGTTTATTAAAAGGGGGCATGAGATGCTTTAAAAAAAAAAAAAAAGAAAGAAAGAAAGAAAAAAGAAATTGAGCAATACTCTTGTTTGTGCTGTTTCAGTGAACCAGCTGTTTTTTTTTTTGCTGGGTCATCATCAGTAGTCAGTTCCTGTGTAATCATGATGGGAGGGGCAGGCTGGGCTTTAGTAAATCTGCAATTTACCATTTCTCCACTAAAATGCCCAGCAATGCTAAGTCACTGTTTACATAGCAAAATTGCACTGGGGATTGGTGTGAAAAGATGCAGTACCATGTTCAGGGAGCCCACAGTTGTAAGTGTGGGGAGGAAATGACTGTGTAGGGTGCTGAGTGCCATGATAAAGGTCCACACTGTGCTGCAGAGGCCTGGAGCAAGGGCACCCACCCACACATAGACCTAAGATACCCAAGCATTGATTGCCAACTTGAGATCTGGCATGTGGTACGGGATGGCCCCACTTGTCCACACATACGGGCTCCCAGCCCCGCTCCCCTGTGCTTAGGGGGAGAGGGGCTCAATGAAGACAATGGGTGGAATGAATGATGCTGTTTCTCTCTTGTTTCTGAAAGATTTCTCCGTGGACAATGGCAGCCACGATTCAGGCCATGGAGAGGAAGATTGAATCACAGGCTGCTCGCCTGCTTTCCCTAGAAGGTCGAACTGGGATGGCTGAGAAGAAGCTGGCCGACTGCGAGAAAACAGCCGTGGAGTTCGGGAACCAGCTGGAGGGCAAGTGGGCCGTGCTGGGAACCCTCCTGCAGGAGTATGGGCTGCTGCAGAGGCGGCTGGAGAACGTGGAGAACCTGCTTCGCAACAGGAACTTCTGGATCCTGCGGCTGCCCCCGGGCAGCAAGGGGGAGGCCCCCAAGGTAGCCCTGGGATGCCCTGGGGTGTGGGAGCCCAAGGGGCAAAGCCTGTGAGTGAGTGAATGTGACACTTGTGGTTTCAGGTGCCCGTGACCTTTGATGATGTGGCCGTGTATTTCTCCGAGCAGGAGTGGGGCAAGCTGGAGGACTGGCAGAAGGAGCTCTACAAGCATGTGATGAGGGGCAACTACGAGACGCTGGTCTCCCTGGGTAAGGCCTGACACTCATTTCTCTGTTAAATGGGATTTTGCAAGTCCTCAAACTTCTCTCTCCACATAGTTGTTTCCTGGCAGTGATATGTGAATCACCAGAAACATTGTTTACCTTGCAAGTTGTTACCTCCTGTGAAAGATGAGCCCTGGGTGATGGAATCAAAAGCTCCCTTCTCCCTGTGCAGAGGGTCCCAGAATGCCAGGATAGGAAAGGTGGCGGTGTCTCTTCTCTGCAGGCCCAGGGTGTGGACCTTTCTGTTGGTGCTGACTTGGAGCAAGGAAGGCCCCTCCTGCTCTCAGATCCAGTATGTAATCCACTCACATTTGAGAAAGACTCTTTCTTTCAGCCTTCTCCCACAGAGATTTGTGGCCCTTACGGTGACATGCCTCAAGGTCAGTGGATAACGTGGGCAGACGGTGCTGCTTGCAGCAGACATTTTCTTCATGCCTCAAAACTCTGCTTCCCTCAGCCCCTGGGGCTACTGCTGCTCTCCTCCTTTGATCCTGCCCAGGAAGGGCCTGGACTCTGTTTCTTCCTGGGCTGATTTCCTCTTCCTGATGGTTTCTGTGTGACCCCAGAGCTGAGGGCAGTGAGACCTAATAGAGAGGACAGGAGCAGGTACAGTCGTGAGGTGACATTTCATCAGCACAAGTGTGCCGCTGTTTCACATGCACGCTCTGTGGCAGTTTCTTCACTCTGGCACTGCTGACATTTGGGACCGGGTGATTCTGGGTCGGGGCCGTCCTCTGCGTTGTAGGATGTTCAGCAGCAGCCCTGGCCTCTACCCCCCAGATGCCAGTCACCTCTCCCCAAGCCCTGGGCACAGCGATCAGAATTCTGTCCAGACTTTGCCGCACGTCCCCGGGAGGAAAATTGCCTGTGACTGAGAGCTCCTGCTCTATGACGATCAAGAGATTTCCTTTCTAGACCACTGTTGGTTTTCCGGGCTGACTGTCCCCAGCTCTGACTGGAACGAGGTGAAAACTAACCTTCTGTCTTTCCTCAGACTATGCCATCTCCAAGCCCGAGGTCCTCTCCCAGATTGAACAAGGGAAGGAGCCGTGCAGCTGGCGCCGCCCCGGCCCCAAGATTCCAGATGTTCCTGTGGACCCCAGTCCAGGTAAGGGCTGGGAGAAGGCCAGGGAGGCATCAGGTGATCTGCGGGAGACAGACAGAAAGGCCAGGAACGGTGTGATCTTCCCAGAGAGAGCCGAGGAGACACATCAAACTTACTTGTGTTTGGTCTGAGTTTTTTTATAGTGGAGTTTTAACCTCTGACTTACTCAGCTAATGCTCCAGGAATGAACACTTTCTATCAGGGAAACAGGTGGCAAACCTACTCTTTTAGGAAGAGTCAAAGCCAGGGCACAGATGACAGGAGGGAGAGGAGGACACTGAGAGGGAAGGCCGGAGAATAGTCGACTCTTGAACAACACGGGGACCAGGGGTGACAGACCCCAATCCCACGCAGCCCAAGGTCTATGTCTAACTTGACTCTCCAGAAAGTTAACTGCTAATAGTCTCCTGTTGACCAGAAGCCTTACTGATACTATGTACAGTCAATAATACATAATTTATATGTCCTGGTTACTATGTATTGTATTCTTTAAATAAGCTACAGAAAAAATGTTAGGAAAACAAGGAAAAGGAAATATGTTTGCTACTCATTAAGTGGAAGGGGGTCCTCATAACGTCATCATCCTCAGTGTCATCTTCAGACTGAGCAGGCTGAGGAGGGAGAGGAGGGGTTGTTCTTGCTGTCTCAGGGGTGGCAGAGGCAGAAGAAAATCCACTTGTAAGTGGGCCTCCATAGTTCAAATCCATGTTGTTCAAGAGTCAGCTGTATATTGAAGATAATATTAATTCAAAGCTTTACCAAGAGTCAGCCTTGCCTCTGAAAACCAACCTGAATTTAGAGCAGTAGCAGTTGTAGAACATACACCCATTGGTCAGCCGTATGGTTCGGTTGATTTAGAAGCACACATTTATTTAAGGTGAATCTGGTTACCAGATACCAGTGTCTCAGATTTCCCTGGAGCTGCTCAGCACCTTTGAAAGTTAAGAGAAAGACAGGTGGGCACAGGAGAAAACAAAATTCCTAAAGTGAAGTGAAGACCTGCTGGGTCATTTGACCAGGGAGACCACATCTCTGGCAGGCTGGACCCCTGATTCCTCCAGAAGACTCGCCCTTGACCGTCCCACCTGCCTTGGTTTTCCCTTTCGTCTGAGACTGAGAAAGGTGGTGTTATGCAGGGGCCTCCTGCGCTCCACCTGTGTGAAATTAAACGCGGCTCCCATGTTTGTCATCTCATCTCAATTAGATTGGTACTTTCCTAAGGGCAAAAGCATGTTCCGAGCGGGCCACTTTACCAGTCATCATCAGGACATTCACAGTTTAGTTCCACAGATGCATTTTGAGCATCTTCTAGGTGTCAAGGACAGTGCTGAGCGCTAGAGGACAGAAAGATGACTGAGAACAGATAGCCTCAGGCTGGAAAAGAGGGTTACAACCCAGGCGCGTCCAGCCTCCTAGCCTGGGTGGGAGGTTCTCAGTGGGTGGGTTTCATTGTGTTTACAGTGTGTGTGGAGGCTTCCCTCGCTTCCACACCATCATTAAATGAGAGTAAAGAAGTCCCCCAAATTATGTTGGTTGCTGGTAAGATCCCGCCACACTCTGTCTGCATCGTATGATGTTTAGCAGCATCCGTGGCCTCTACCCACCAGTAGACAAAATGAATAGAGACAAACTCTACTGTCCACCTTGAGCCTGTCAGCAGGGATCCTGTGTGGACTTTATCCCCGTCCTCTTGGTCCAAGAAACCAGGAATCACAGCGCATCCCTTGCCATGTTTGGCCTGGCCCATCGCCTTGTGAGACCTCACCTCACCTTCTCACTGCCTGCATGCTCCTCCGCTGGGCCTTATGGGACTCAGGGCTCAGCAGACCTGCCAGGTCCTGAGTGTTCCCTGCTCGGGCTGAGCTCCAGGGAACCGCAGCCGTCCTCTTCCCTGCCTCCCTCAGCCCGGGCCTACTGGGGACAGAGTCCTCACCCCTCATGATTGCACTTCTGATACCTTCACTCTCTCCCTGCCTCTGTATCTCATTTCTCGTATTTTTACTGCCTCTGCAGACCTTCCCTCTCTTGTCATTCTTCCTGCTCTCAGTCATGGCCATGGCAGCCTCCATGCAGATAGTTCTGTGCCCCCTTCCCCTGCCCATGGCCATCCATGACTGTGATGACAGTGACTGCACCCTCCTCCCCGACCCTCTCCATCTCCAGCACACCACTCCCGGGCTGCCTCCCACCACCCCTCCAGTTCCCTGTCTGGTGTCCTGATTCCAGCAGTTTTCCAGCCCTTCAGGACCTGCAGGCCATCGATCTTGCTGCCTTTTCACTGCCTTGCTCATCATCTCCCTCCATGCCCACCACTGTGATCCCTGCTTGTACACAGCCTCAGTGTCCTTCCCTTCTGTTGTTCATTGTATCCGCCTGGTGAAATCCATCGGCACTCTACACCTGCAGCCAAGCAGCTGCACGTGGCTGCAGAGAACCAGGCAAGCTGGCTGCTAGTGTCACGTGACATACACGACCAGCGACTTCAGTGGGCGCTCTGCCACACAGTCACGCTGTGTCTGCCTAGCCTAGGGGCCAGCAAACTATGGCTGAGGACCAAACCTAGCTTATCTGTTTCTGTATGGGGCACGCCTGAGAACAATTTTATATTTTAACCCCCCTTTTTTAATTAAAGAGAAATACACCACTCACACAGCCCTCCCCATGCCATCTGCCTGCACCTGTGTGCCCTTCTCTGCCTTCACTCCTGTGACTGCTGAACTGTCATCCCTCTAGTCAAAGCCCCCCTTTAACCTGGCACCAGATCCCACTTCATGCCACCTTCTCAAGGGCAACATAACCAATCCTGCCTTGACCCCTACCCCCCCTCCCAGCCACTGCCCGCTTCTCTGCTCCCCTTTGTGTCAGAGCCCTTTGGGGACATCTGCATTTCCTGTCTCCTACCCTTTCTCTCTTACTCTGTTACCTCTTGCACCAAAACCTCTCCGACCTCAGTTACTAAGACCCTTTATGGTGCTGAATGGTCTGTCTTCTTACTTGGCCTTGTCCCCTCCACTCTATCACCCAGGCTCATTGTCTGTTGCTGTCGTTGCCGCCAGTCCCTCTGCTCCTGCCCTGATCCCCCAGAGTCTCAGCTCAGCCCAGCAGAGAGTGATCCTTTTTAGGCCCAAGTGCTGGCTTTCCATCTGACCCGCACCGTTGGCTCCCATCCTCCACTTTTCTCTCACTTTTTGCCCAGCTGCACCATACCCAGTGCTGTACGCTCTGCCCTGTGCAGGGCCTTCACAGTGCCCTCTGCCGGGTGCTCCTCAGGCAGTTCCCCGCTGCGGGCCTTTCCCATCACTGGCACTGCAGCCTCTCCCGACCCAGGACTTCAGGCCTCCTTTCCTGCTTTGGGTCTTCCTGTCAGACAGCATCATATAATGTATATGTTTCCTATTTATAGATTTCATCAAATGTCAGGTCTCCCCCATTAGAATGTCAGTTTCAAACGTACAAAAATTTGTATCTGTTTTCTTCACATAATCATTCTAGGAACCTAGAATATTGCCTGGCACAGAGCAGGAATCCGATAACTATTTGCTGAATATATGCTGTGTTTCAAAATTTAAGATGCGCATGCGCGCGCACGTGTGTGTGTGTGTGTGTGTGTGTGTGTGTGTGTGAAATAATGTATTTCTGATAAATCCCTTGTTTTTAAATCTCCCTGGGAGATTTAAATCCCTTTTTAAATCTCCCAGGCCTCCCTAGGGCAACCTCATGCTCTGAATTTTCTGTTTATTCTTTCTATCCACATCTACTGTGTACTTTGGTAGCTGTAAACAATATGCACTATGGTTTTTTGTGTTTTCAAAAATTTCATAGATGTCATTATACTTATCACTCATTATTCTGTATTTCAGACTTATCCATGTTGATACATGTAGTTCAGGTTCATTCCTTTTAACAGATGCTCAATATTCCGGAAGCAACTATATCGTCATTTATTTTCCATTCCTCCACTGATTGGCACTTAAGCTTTTACTGACTGTTTACTCTCACAAGCCATGGTGTAGTGAGTGTTCTTGCGCCTTCTCCTTGTGCCCCTGTGGGGATGCTGCTCCAGGGAACAGACCCAGTGGTGGCCTCACCGTGTCATGGCCTTGATTTCGTCTCTGCCATTGCTGTATGGCCCTCCCAGGGCTACCTCAGTGCCAGCGGGTGCTTCCAGAACTTGCTTCTTAACCTTTTTGCCAGCCCGATGGGAATAAGATGGCATCTCATTTCCACTGTAGTTTCCCTACAGTTAGTGAAGTTGGGAGCCCTTTTCATATGATTATTTGGCTGCTTCTCCAGTGAACTGTCTTCTATTTTTCTGTTGAGATATTCTTCATTTTCTTATCGATTCAGGACTTCTTTGTATGTGTTCTAGATACGAATCCTTCGTCTATTATTGGCCTTACAAACATCATCTCCGTGTCAGTGGCAGGTCTTTTTTTTTTTAGATGGAGTCTTGCTCTTGTTGCCCAGGCTGGAGTGCAATAGCATGATCTCAGCTTACTGCAACCTCCACCTCCCCGGTTCAAGTGATTCTCCTGCCTCAGCCCCCCGAGTGGCTGGGATTACAGACATGTGCCCGGCTAATTTTGTATTTTTAGTAGAGACGGGGTTTTCTCCATGTTGGTCAGGCTGGTCTCAAACTCCCAACCTCAGGTGATCCGCCTGCTTCAGCCTCCCAGAGTGCTGTGATTACAGGTGTAAGCCACCACACCTGGCTGGAGGTCTTTTAACTTTGTAGTTCTTGAATAGAAGTTTTTTTCACTGTTAAGAGTCAAACTTGTCAGTCTTTTCTTTTATGATCTTTGCTTTTTCTGTAGTAAGACATCCTTGCTTACCTCACTCAAGGTCAAAAAGATAACTCTTCTCTATTTTCTTATAAATTTTTTTTATTGCATTTTAGGTTTTGGGGTACATGTGAAGAACATGCATGATTTCTTATAAATTTTTGAAAGTTTTGCTTTTCAAATTTAAGTCTTTAATTCATCTACAATTAAAATTTGTGTAGC